TTAGAAGCGAACGGTACTAGGTTCGAGTCACTGGAGGAACGTTAACTCTGAGATTCAGGCGCATCCAGCTGACGAGTCCTGAATGGGACGAAACTCGCGTCCTTGATTCCACTGTTGGCCACTATCCATATTTGTTTACTCTGAAATTCTCTGTATGTTTATTTCATTATTGGTTTACTTAACAAATCCAAAGATAAATAAACTTATCATAAGAGAAAATCTTTAGTTTAGACATTCTCCTATCTTTTATTCTATCATTAACTATCAGGTCTAATGAATTGCATTATTATGTGTGCTAACTTAAACTAAAACTTAAAGTAAATCAATCAAGTAATCTAAAAAATGATTTAAAAGTTGAATTAAAATTCATATTTATGGTATTATCTGAACTTAGTAACTAAATGGATAATCTATCAAACGTTTGAAGAGAAAGGTTTTGAGTTCGAATCCCGGAGCAAGCATAAACACTAAGCGCAGGTATATTCGACTAACGAATCTCAAATAGAGCGAAAAAGAACATCCTACATTCTACTACTAACCACAATCCATCTATTCTGTGTAAACTTGCCTCATAACGGTTATACAGAGGCGATCCGCACATGATACATATATTGCCAACTAAGGCTGATCAAAATTTAGTTGAAAATATCAACAACGAGATCATCCAAATACAATTTTAAATAGAAGTAACTTGACCAATTTTCGATGATAATTGCTGACTTAAAAATTATCCATTTCTACTGTCATATCTTCTGTGATTATTTACAGTTATCTACGCAAAATACTTCGAATCCGTTGGCCAGACATTACCAGCAACAACCTACTGTGAGAAAGAACAAACCAGGTTCCAGCGGAGGAAGAAGTCAGGAAGAAGCACTGGAAGTGGATAGGACACACATTGAGGAAAGCACCCAACTGCGTCACAAGGTAAGCCCTCACTTGGAATCCTCAAGGTTAAAGAAGAGGAAGATCAAAGAATACATTACTCCGAGAAACGGAGACAAATATGAGAAGAATGAACAAGAATCGGATAGAACTAGAAATGAAGGCCCAGATCACAGTGGGTTGGAGAATGCTGGTCGGGTGGCCTATGTTCCATTAGGAGTAACAAGCGTAAGTAAGCACGTGTCATATGATATTAATAGTCGTTTTTTTATTCTCTTTAATAATACCCAATAGAGGGCTTCAAATTATAACCTTTATAAATTTACTAAGTAATTCAACTTCATGCATTGTTAGTCTGATTATTTACTTCATGTTAATTATCTTAGGTTTAATGGTCATTCACCTATTACCATGAGAAAACAGAGTATACAACTCTCAGTTATACACATGAATGACTCGTAGAACTGTAATCACCATCTCTGATAGATAAATTGAGAGCATTGTTCGACCGTTTTATTTGCTAATTTCAAACAGTTTTCTACTAAATAAATAAATAAAGGGCCTAGACAATAAATAATTTCATGCTTTTACTATACGGGGTTTGTGGAGGCTGTAGTTTATATTAAGGACTAATCATAGTTAGACAACCATTTAAAACTAAGAGGCACCCAATTACTATTCAGTTCCACTATGAGATTGAGCAGTGAGCACCTATGACCCAATCGAGGATCAGCCCCATAAACCCCCAGGTCTCAAGATGAATGAGGAGCCAATATGGATAGGAAATTCCAAAAGTCCTAATAAGAAAGTGTAATCAACAGAGTTCATTATCGACAAGTGATTTAGGTTGGAAATGTAAACTATTGAATACTGTCTCAAAGGTCTAAGATCCAAGAATCACAGATACTCATTTATAAGCGATATAATACTATAACAAAATATTTGTTTGATGTCGACTAGCTTTCAAATGTTTAACTAAAACTAAACCCTAATGTAAACTAATATTAAACTGTAGGTATCAATATCAAAGTTGGACTTGATGGTTTCAAATAAATTGAGCATTGATTAGGAAGTTAGTTATAAATATAATTTTTATGATATCCAAATGAATAGAAAATTGTATTTTTGACGTTTCTTATCTTAGTGTAGATCACTTCTTCAGAGCATTTGTGTAGTCTGAAGAAGTGATCTACACTAAGTTACGAAACGTCAGAAGTGAAATTTTCTATTCATTCGGTTATCACGAAAATTATTATTATTATTATTATTATTATTATTATCATTATTATTATTATTATTATTATTATTATTATTATTATTATTATTATTATTATTATTATTATTATTATTATTATTATTATTATTATTAGGATGAGCAGCTCCTATAAACACCCCATTTTAATTATGTATTCATTATTTGAAAAATGTCGAGTAACACAATCGTTTACCAACTTATTTACGAAGTCTAAATTACGTCATATATATGTAATTAAAAAATAACAGTAGGATACTAAAATGTATTCAATTAAAAGATAAGTGTACTTTCTTCCCATTTGCATGTTATATGCTTTACAGCTAAATTCTTGCGGAAAAATGAATTTAATAAATACTTTTTAAGAATTATATGTTTCTTCTGTGTGCTGTGATGCCAATGACTTTCTCCTTCATTTTCATAGACAGAAAAAAATTACCTAACTGTACTTGAGTATCACTAAGCACTTGGAATTATTTAGTATGGAATGATTAGTGAAGTTAACCCAAAATTTCACTTGTTACATTTTGAACAAAATAATATTTTATTAAGATCATGAACTAATCTAAACTAAATAACCATCGAGGACATGGGAGAGCTGCACGGCCGTTTCATCCTAATATAGAACTACTCAGCAGTGTGCATCTACGACCTAACAATGAAGAATCGAATCCAGGAGTTTCAGTCATCAAAGTGAACGCATAACCTCTGTACGACTGAGTCGGCATCTAATAGTTCACGAGACTGACTTCAATCAATCCGCAATATTGTACGACTATTCTCAAATGGGAAGTCGTGAGCAGTGGTTGATTAATAATTTGAACACTTCTCACTACCTAGTTTTAATAATTTTTGATGATTGTTATTTGAATATCTATTTCTCAAAAGTTTTCAACTTTCTTCTCATTATGAAACATCGATTTAACACTTTATTATTATCACAAATAGCACACCAATCATCGTGCTATCCAATTTGTACTTTTTACTTATTATATTTAGTTATGTAATCTATTCTGCTGTTATCATTGATTCCTAAACAGCCTTGAATGATTTAACATATTTATGTATGCAATATAAATATTATTAGATGTTAGAGTAAAACCCTATAAAGAACTTATTGAAGATGATATTATTCGCTAACATGTATCATTACAATTTACAATATGGAAATTTCAATATTTTCATAAACTACTTATATCTGACATATTTAATCAGTAAGCTAGAAATCCTTTTTATATTCAAAATCGATTGATCACAAGGTGATGATCAATGTCATAAGTGTCGGGTCCTACTTAGTGAAAAATAGCACAAAACCTAGGTCTAGGGTTTCCTGTCGACTAACCCCAATCCCCATCTTAGTCGTTTTTGTCTTTTAACTATAAAGACTGTGAACATTTTCAATTAAATCATTTCAATCAAATCATTCATTGTATCAATCAATCATGTGATTATAACGAAACTATATGTTTTATAAACTTAAATAATAATGAGAAATAACGAAAGGAAACATGAATAGAAACCAATAAATAAACGAGTTTATTGGTTCAAGAATTTTGTGAAAATTGTTGAGTTGCATAACTTATATCACAAATTAATTTTAGTCAGCCAACTATTTATTGAAACTAGAAATGTCAACTATTGAATTATAATAATTAAGCATCTACTATGAGACTTAAAGTACTTGGAATCAGTCACCGATGGGGTCATGGATGTGAACTCTTGAAAAATCTCATATTACTAATAAACAGCTTGATCAATCATGATTAGTTTTCAATAGTTATTTAACTAAGGTTCGTTTATGTTGTGAAACTATGAAAATAAATGAGCATTATATGTATTAGGTTATCTTTGAGAGTATCATAGTAAAGTCGATATAGTTCTTTTCAATAACAAGAAATATTTCATGGAATATGAAGAAAAAAACCAATTAAATAATTTAGAAATATGTATATATAATAAAACTTCTAATAATACATAATTAGCCATTAGTCAATCTGATCCCTAAATGCTAGAGATTGATTTACGTTACCACTGGACTTCTGAAAGTAAATTGCACAGAATAACAATGTGAATCAACTTTTTAGGTTATGATAAATGAATTACTATGAGACCTAGCTCATTAAGATTTAGATCGCCCTCAAATGCCCTGGTACGGCTGAGAGTGGAGAGAGTTCGCTCTCCCTCTCGAAATGCTCTCACATGGTTACATGTATACAGCCACTTCCAGGAAAGTCGTACTCACTAACATCTCGCGGCAGGGGTGTTGTTTACAAAATTCAGAGGACGGAAAGCGAATGTCTGGCACTTTAACCGGGTCGACGGATATGGACGGTCTACTTAGGGGAGTTGGAAAACCCTTATTCCAAATCGATAGTGCATATTGGCTCTAGAATCCTGAGGGAACAAATGGCGTATGAACCTATTGTTGGTCACAAGCTACCATGGGATTGAATCTTCTAAAGTTACCTCACTTCCTTATGGATCAGACCTTTAGGTAGAAGGCTCTGAATATGGCCCCTTGAGAAAACCACCTGTTTCGATTTTGGCATCCGAACAGTATAATAAAATAAATAAGAAACAGATCGAATATATATATATATATATATATATATATATATATATATATATATATATATATACAGAATGTATGTATTCAATCTTAAGTTTCATGTTTTTGTGCATGAGAACTAAGGACACCATATCTCTAACCAAACCCAATTAGATGAACTAGTGCAAATCATTGTCCTATCAAAACAACCAATAATGAATTCTCATAATTATTTTAAGTAAACAATTGTATATAATCCGAGAAAAAGAACTTTATTACACAATTATAATTATTATTACTCAAACTAATACTTACCTGGTTTTTTAAATGTTCTACGAAATTGTACACGTGAGAACATGATCTTTATTGATTTATTCCATACAATAATTATCAACTAATTCTAATAATATTGATTATTATTATTATAGTATTGATCAAAATTCTATGAAATAAGATATTCGATTAGAATATATAAATAAATGGTATTGATTTTTCTGTGTAGTCAATGTCAGTATCATCGTTATTATCATCATGATCGTTATTATTAACATGATTAGTTTAACAAGATAACTAATAATTCATTAAAATCTTTATTCCATTGTGTAAAATATCGAATGAACTTATTTGTTTCCAAATTATATTCACGTTCTTTACTACTGATAATAATAATAATAATAATAATAATAATAATAATAATAATAGTAATGAGGGTATCCTTTAACACACGGTTTATAACTGTCCTTTTATTTTAAAAACAAACAAACAAACAAATAGATTTATATAAATGAAGATGATTCTATTTAATCTAATCAAATTGATAAATCAATTGAATATGTAACAAAAATTACTTTTTATGTAATATAATTGTAATGTACATATTTTGTATTTTATAAGTGTATCATTTAAATATCCATTGAAGAAATTCTATTACAAAAAAAATAGAAAAATTTTTTTCAGAAGTTTGAAAAGTAAATAAATAAATAAAGGAAATATATTTCTCTATCTCAGTGTATTGCTTAAAATACTATCATATTATCTATGCAATGGATTTTAAACAAACAGGTATATATATACATTTACATGTTCATGTATATGGTAAATAACTTCATGATTAAAACAATTGTGTGATTCGTTCAATCATATTGTTTGTTACTTACTTACTTAGTTAGTTAGTTAGTGAGTTAGTTAGTCAGTTGGGAAATGTCAATTTACTTTCTATTATTTTCTGCACATTTAAAGCAATACATCTGTCCAGATATTTACATGTATATGTCTGTAAATATATATGTTCGTATGTATTAGTATCCCTGTACTTGTAGACAAACAACATTACTGTTTATTTCTTGATTGCTATTTATTTTTCAATTTCTTCCATCGTTTATAAAACAGATCATTGTACGATCATTGTGCAATACATACATTCTATGTGTAGTCCAATCTATATACACGAACAACAACTAGACTGGACATATATTACATACTTTTATACAAGAACAGCCTATTATATATATATATATATATATATATATATATATATATATATATATATATATATATATCGATCATTGAACCCATAAGGGTTACTGCACTATGAAAACTACTGAGTGTGTGGGTGGACTGTTTGTTAGCGAGAGAAAAAAGCGCACGACAAACACGACGTGTGATCATGTGTAGTTGGACAGTAATTTTGACAGACAAAATGGAACAAATGTCGCAGTCTATGTACGTTGATAATGATGATGATGATGACGGTGCTAATATTAATAATTGAAATGATAAATAAAAAAGTTGTTAGGGATTAAAAATCGTAAACATGTATTTCTTTACTTTTAAAAAAGTAAACAAAACTTAATGATTAAGTTCACTTGGTATTGTTTACTTGATTCATCCCATTGATGTTTAAGATTGCAATTGATCAGTCTCGTATTGACATATGTGTATCCTATGTGGATCGCCTCCATATTGCCTTAATTCACAAGCATTCCAAGCAAAGATGTATGGTGGTTATCAGTGGAATGCAGAACGCGCGTTTTGTCCTTCCGGGTTCGAGTCCCAGAGTGAACGTCAACTCTAGGATGCAGGTACATCCAGCTGACGAGTCCCAAACAAGACGAAGCGCGCGTCCTGGATTTCACTGCTGGTCACTATCCATCTTTGCTTCTAATGATTAAGTGTTTTTTGGCTATTTCTTATTATAGTATTTTGGTTATTAAATTTGATCATTAATTGATGATAATAATGATACATCCAACTTACCATCAGGTCAACTACGGCGTATATATATATATATATATATATATATATATATATATATATATAATCTCAGACAACCATTCAAAACAAAGATGGATTAAGCTGATATTTTGTCTTAGTATGAAGCCATTTATCAGTATGTATACACGACCTTGCTGAAGGAATCGAACTCAGGACCTTCCAGGTTTTGGTAGCTAGCTATAAACCTTTGAACTACTGAGCCAAGATCAAACATTTCACATTTATAACTTCTTTCAGTTCGTGGTAGTGAGCAATTATTAACAATTATTATCTAAAGGTTCGAAATTTGATCCCATTCCGATAAGATGATGAGTGCATACTGTTGAGGAATCTCACACTAAGACGAAATAACCTTTCAGTGCCTTCAGGTTTTTGACTCGTATTTCGTATTCTTTGAATTTTAAAAATCATTGTAGGTCCAAGAGGATATGAATGATCATTAGATATAAATACATATTTCCTTATTCCATAGTACTTATGAAGCTAGATAGATAGATCACATATTAAGAATGTGATATTTTGAAACTAATTTCTGAACCTATACTAATAATTATCATTAAGAATAACAGAATTACGAATAACTTCAGATAATTGAAAAGACTTTCATCATTTGATAATTACATGAAACGATCTGCAAGAACTAAAAATATGCAAGTAGTTGGTATGGAAGTTTGGATTTATTATTCTTCAACAGGGTCTACCTGCTATCTTAAGGAAGCGATATTCTTTATGGGATTCAAACCTGCATTACTCAGTTTCACTGATTCAAATGTTACTATTGGGTAATTTGAGCAACGACTGTACTTCTATAGGACTAAAATATCTACGTTGATTGATCATTGGGTGTGTGACCAATATCAATTTTGTCTAGCCATTAGAGTTATTCGAATTCTATCAATCTCGTCTAAGTGACCCGTTGTCCAATCAACAGTGTTTCGACACTACGTTGTTGCAGGTAGTCAGCAACAAACACTATTTCTTTGTAAAGTTATACCTACCGTTCAATATCATTGGGAGCTATCACTTTCATTGGTGTGACATCCTTAAAACCGGGTGATTTATTTATAAGAATCTCATTGTCGTTCTACAAAATATGATCACTACCTGTTTTAATTAGTGGTTATATTATTTATCATTCTATATATTCGATTAAATTGAAACTGATGAAGTGAATTACTAATTGGGAAGATAGTATAAACACGACAAATTGATTGTTGAGTTTTTGATCAAGATCATGAATCGATCAATGTTAGACCACCATTGAAAATCTGGAAGCCATAGACGATCGTTTCGTCCTAGTATGAAACTTCTCACCAATGCACATCCATGATCTCGCATATGGGATTCGGATCCAGTACCTTCAGTCTCACACACGAATGCTTAACGTCAAAACCATTGAGCTAATCGGAATCCAACAGTGTTAATATCTAACTTTAATCAGTCCACAAAATTGTGTCACTATCTTTCATTGTCTCTACAAAACATGGATTAGACGCCACTAATCACAGCTTCCCACTAAATTTTGATCTCCAATAATGAATATAAACATTTTACTTGTCTGATAAACAAATATATATTAAATGAATTGAAACAACTATACTATTTTCAATTTCAACTGATAACATCTTGATTACACATAAATAGGGTAAGTAAAAGTTTTTTCCTCTTTTAAAACTGAAAAAAGAATGATAGATTTAATTCTAGATAAAGGACATATATACACAGTAGTATGGTAGTTATCACATATCTATATTCTATAATAAAATGTGAAAATCTCTTTTCAATGTTTCTTCTTTTTCTTTTTTGTTTTATCATGTGAGAGTAAGCAAGCGAATGAATATTTTTTTTTTTATTTTTACAAAAACATTTATGTATATTTCTAAATTTATTTGGTGTTGTTCTACTTAGATCTTCCCATTGTTATTTAAGACTGCAATTGATCAGTCATTTATTTGGTATATGTGTATCCTGTACAGATTGCCTCGATATTAGCCTTAAGTTATAAGTTTCTATTGAAAAGATTATTATTTCTACAACATTTGACAATAGTGATTATTTCTCTTTGTTAAGTATGTATGTATGTATGTATATATGCATGTACAATACAATTTTTTTTTCATTCAAGAATCTATATTACTGAATTTGCGGAATTTGTATTGTATATGAATCTGTATACATGTGGGTGTATTGGCATGTATAATAAATACTTCAATGCCTAATTTATCTATCTGTTTGTGTGGTTATCATGTGTATTTATGTAGTTTTAGACTATTATGTAATCAACAATATTAGTTTACAATTAATTGTAATAAGTTTGTGTTAATATATACAAGTATGCAACTTTTGTTCTAGTTACATAATCATTCCTTTTTGTTAGTCTATTATTATATAATACTTTATTTAATGATATTATTGTCTGGCTTTTTGTTTTAGTGATTACACACCTGTAATATTGCGGTAAAATGAATAAAAAACTTTGTTATGAAAATAAATTAATTTAATTGACAATCACAATTTAACTAGTTAAAATCATGGGTCAGTTGAAGCTAGACCAGCATGGAAAACCTGGAAGCACTGGACGGCCGTTTCACCCTAGTACGGAACTCCTCAGCAGTGCGCACCCACGACCCCGCCCCCCCGAGTTTCGAACCCAGAACCTATCAGTCTCGCGCGTGAGTGCTTAACCACTTGACTACTAAGCTGGCCGGCATCCAACGGTGTTAATGTCTAACTTCAACCAATCCACGATAATAATCATCTGCTCACTAGTGACTGACTTCAAGAGGCATTTCCTGGAGTTCTATTGAAAGGCCGTTACCAGTGGAGTTCAACCGGGTTTGTTGTAAGATATCAACTCACTGAAGACAATGATGTACGATGGTGCGATTTCGTGGATTAGTTGACGTTAGACATTAACACAGTTGGATACCGGCCAGCTCAGTGGTTTAATGGTTAAGCGCTCGCACGCGAGACTGATTGGTCCTGGGTTCGAACGGGATCGTGGACGCGCACTGCTGAGGAGTCCCATACTAGGACGAAACGGCCATCCACTGCTCCCAGGTTTTCCATGGTGGTCTAACTTCA